CCCACCTGGGTTTTGGCCACTGTGTGACCCAGAGTGTTGGACTGGATGGGCCATTGGCCTCATCCAACATGGCTTATTTTATGCTCTTATCAGCTTCCAGAGGGGATTGGATAAACACAGGGAGCAGAGGTCCTTGAGTGGCTATTAGCCACAAGGTCTAGAGAGAACATTATGGCTGTGATCACACACACACACACTAAATAATCCACTTTCAATGCATTTTCAATGCACTTCCCAGCTTGATTTTGTCAGTTCCTACAGTAAAATCCAGTTGGAACGTGGATTGAAAGTGGATTATTTAGATTGCGTGATCGCAGCCTACGTCTGGGGCAGTGATGCTCTGTATTCCTGGTGCTTGGGGGGGGGGCAACACTGGGAGGCCTTCTGGCCCCGCTGGTGGATCTCCTGATGGCACCTGGTATTTTTGGCCACTGTGTGCCACTGGCCTGATCCAAGATGGGTACTCTTATGTTCTTATGTCTGGGGCAGTGATGCTCTGTATTCTTGGTGCTTGGGGGGCAAGGGTGGGAGGGCCTCTGGAGTTCTGGCCCCACTGGTGGACCTGCTGATGGCACCTGGTATGTTTGGCCACTGTATGACACAGTGCTGGACTGGATGGGCCATTGGCCTGATCCGACAGGGCGTCTCTTACATTCTTCTGTCTGTATTCTTGGTGCTTGGGGGGCAAGAGTAGGAGGTCTTCTGGAGTTCTGGCCCCGCTGGTGGACCTCCTGATGGCCCCTGGTTTTTGGCCACTGTGTGACACAGAGTGTCGGACTGGGTGGGCCAAACGAGAAAAATACAAGTCACGAGCAAAGTTAAATATTTAGGAATAACTATAACTAATAGAAATAGTATCTTGGTAGAAAATAACTATAATAAATTAAAAGAGGAAATAAGAAGAGATTTAAATCAGTGGAAAGATCTTCAATTATCTTTAATGGGAAGAATATCAACAATCAAAATGAACATAAGCCTACAGCTGAACAAAATCCCCGTCAGCTACAAACGTGTGCGACTTAAAAGATTTATATGTTATCCTCCTTTGCCCCTATGAATCATTGTTAGTCCCATGTGAATATGTGTAACTGTAAATCACTCAGAGCCAGCAGCTCTGCAGGATTGAGCGATTAATAAATAGAAAGATATTGTTGTTGTTATTATTATTATTATTTTGCCTCGCTTTCTATTCCGACGCCCACCGTCTCAAAACGGTTGTGGGCCCCTGCGGTCCACTTTGGTAGGGGAGAGTCGTTGGAGGGGCAGGGAAAGCCCTGCTGGAGAAAGTGTCCTTGCGGTGGTCAGGAAGGGATGCAGGCACTGGAAAGGGTGAGGTCATAGAAAGTGTAAAAAGGCCTGACTTATTACCCTTCCGTTCCCTTTTTAGATACATTCCTACGTGAACGGGGCCCTGTACAGCATCCTTGCTCTACCCTCCATACGAGAAGAAGCCCGAGCAATGGTAAGCGACCCCCGTCTGTGATTTGTTTGGTCTCCTCTGCAGATGACTCACAGCAACCCTGGAGGGTTTTCAAGGCACTGGAGGAACAGAGGTCCCGGTCACACAGGCGGGATGATCCGCGGCCGAAGGGGGGCAAATCAGAGCCGGAGCAAAAAGAACCGCGGGAGTGCGATCCAACGTGCCCCCGCGGCTCCGTGCTCCCCCAGCCGATCACACGTCGCGCAGCAAACCGGCAATAGCGCGGTTGTGTGCCTGCGTGGGACGGGGAACGGAGCCAGCTGCAGCGGGCTACCAGCGCTTCCCCGGTCAGACGCCTTCCGTTGCCGCGCATCATTCAGGTAGGTTGGGCTCTGTTGCTAGTACCTTTTTGATGCGCGTTTGTGGGCTGAAGGGACGGATCGTTGATGGGTGCCCGCCACTTCCCAGATGTTGCGGTGTGATCGCGCCCGCTTGATGCGTCCCCGATCCATCCCTCTTGCGGATCAAATCCTCCCCTGTGACCGGGGCCAGAGGTGGGTTTTCCATTGCCGGCCTCTGCGCAGCAACCCTGGCCTTCCCTGGTGGTCTCCAAACTAAGTACTCACCAGGACCAACCCTGCTTAGCTTCCGAGATTTCAAGGCAGAGGACGAACAGAGGTGGTTTGCCAGTGCCTGCCTCTGGATAGCAACCCTGGCCTTCCTTGATGGTCTCCTGCTCTGAGACACCGAGTAAAGGGCGGGGTATAAATCCAGTCTCCTCCTCCTCCTCCTTACAGTAGCCAAATCGCTCGCTCACAACTTTAATGCTAGGAGCTCACAAAGTAGAATTTTTGCTCACAAGACTCCACAGCGTAGAGGGAGCATTGCGTGGTGACCAGGGGTCATTTCGTAGAAAAAGAGGTGCAGGAGCTCATTAGCATAACTCATTCGCATAACTTATTTGCATATGCCACACCCCCTGACATCACCGGAAATGTGTCAGAAGGCAACATCCACCGCTCAGGCGCCACTGGACTGGTTTGGTTTGCTAGCTATTGGGGGGGGGGCGTGCAGGTCTGGCCTCCCCACGGGGGGAGCGCTGTAGCTTGTACCTGAATAAAACTTGGCCTTAAAGGTGCCACTGGACTGTTTTGGCCTGGGGGGAGCTCTGCAACTTACCTGGCTGCTTCTTGCTCTGACTGAGGGCCGCTGGGATCAGGGGGTGGGGTTTATTGCATGTGCCCACCCCCTGGGCTCTTAACTGCCGGAGCTCTGCTCCTGTGCGGTCCTGCAGGACATGACCCCTGGTGGTGACCCTAACTGGGTTTCTGCTGGGCATTTAATAAAGTACTCTGTTCCCCCTAAAAATCTAGCATGCCTATCTTCATGAGCCAGATCCTACTATAGATTTATACTAAAGTACCATTCGTCAAAGCTTCCTTTTCTCTTTTCCTTTGGCTGCTATGTCTTACTTGTTAATTGATTACTTCCTGTTTACTCACGGCCGACTGCAGTGCTCAGGACTGCTTATGTCATCGTTAGTATTATCGTGCTCTGATCCGAATACCACGATAACAAAATTGCAATAATGGCTGCAAAGCTGTACTTATGGGTCCTCAGGGAGCTGATAATTAAGTACTGGTTCATGAGTGAATAGGAAGTGGCGAAGCTGACGCCAAAGGGAAGAAGGAAGATTTAAAAGGCCAAAGTACTGAGAAACCTCAGTCGTGAATTGCTTGTTCATAGTGGTCAGGCTGGTGTTGCCATTGCATTTTGTAAAAAATCGACACAGAGCAAATCTGAAGAAAGATAGGAGGACAGCAGGGAAAACATTGGAATGTATTGTGTTACCAACATTATCATCTGTTCTCCATTGAAAGCTGAGTGAAAGCCTGAGCAGCTGATGTGGAAGCATCCTAAATTAGAGTGAACTCTGGGAAAGAAGAAAAGTCACAGCTCTGAAGGCTCCTGCTTGTCTCATTCTTTCAGTAAAGAAACATCATACTGTCAATGCAGAACATCCCCAAAGGAGTTCTGTTTCTCTTTTCCCCATCTGAATGCACTTCGTGGCCTTAAAGATCTGCAAGCCCCTCCAGCAATGCTGATCTTGTGGGATAATTTTTTTCTGGCCAGTTTTTTCTGTTGAAGTTCTCAGTGCAGAAAGAAAAGCCATTTAGCCAATAGAAAACTGTTACCAGGATCTCTAAACTGCAAGCTGTCAGCCACTTTAGATGACAGTTCTCAGCTGCTGCAAGTTAATCACTTCTGTTCTCAGCTGCTGCAAGTTAATCACTTCTGCCAGCCTAAGCAACAGTTCTGCTAACAAGCTGGCAGGTGGGGGTGATGACTTCTGTAGTCAAGAAAGGTAGCACTTAGGCAGGAAAACTCTCTGAAAGGAGACCAGTTTCTTGACACAGAGTTAGAAGGGATGCTAGAGGTCACCTACTCCAACCCCCTTGCTCAGTGTGGGAATTATTCCACTACAGCACCCCACTCTGCTTAAAGGAGCATGCGCCTTTCGAAAAATGTCTAAAAATGATTGGTAAAAAGGATTTACAGGAGAAATTCTTGTGGGGCTGTGCCTTTAAGAAAGGGGGGCAAGGCCCTCCAAGGCCCCACTGTAGCCACAGGCCTGTCCCTGTCCCCCGGTCCTGCCACCCTTTGTGGTTTGGGGCACAGTGCAGAAAGAATGGGGCAGTAGCTGGGTTTTGTCCTAGTAACAGCCGCAACAGTGCAATAATGACGACTAGCCCGATGGCGAAGCAGGGTCAGCCCTGGTCAGTATTTGAATGGGAGACCACCAAGGAGTATCAGGGTCACCATGCAGAGGCAGGCAATGGCAAACCACCTCGGAAGAAAAAGGGTAGAAGAAGAGTTGGTTTTTACACCCCACTTTTCTCTACCTTAAGGAGTCTCAAAGCATCTTAGAATCGCCTTCCTTTCCTCTAGCTACAACAGGCACCCTGTGAGGTCGGTGGGGCTGAGAGAGTCCTGAGAGAACTGGGACTGGCCCAAGGTCACCCAGCAGGCTTCATGTGGAGGAGGAGTGGGGTATTGAGAGCCAGTCTGGTGTAGCGGTTAAGTGCACGGACTCTAATCTGGGAGGAAGAAGAAGAAGAAGAAGAAGAGATTGGATTTATACCCCGTCCTTCATTACGCAGAGGAGTCTCAGAGCGGCTGACAAACTCCTTCCCCTTCCCCTCTCCAGAACAGACACACCCTGGGAGGTAGGCGGGGCTGAGAGAGCTCTTTCCAGAACTCTCCTTGAGAGAACAGCTCTGACAAGAACTATGGCTTGCCCAAGGTCATCCAGCAGGTGCAAGTGGAGGAGTGGGGAATCAAACCCGGTTCTCCCAGATTAGAGTCCGCGCACTTAACCACTACACCAAACTGGCTTGGGAGAACCGTGTTTGATTCCCCGCTCCTCCACATGCAGCTGCTGGTGTGACCTTGGGTCAGTCACAAGTTCTCTCAGAGCTGTTCTCTGAAGGGCAGTTCTCGAGGGAGCTCTCTCAGCCCCACCTACCCCACAGGGTGTCTGTTGTGGGGAGGGGAAGGGAAAGGGGTTTGTAAGCCGCTCTGAGACTCCCTTGGGTAGTGAAGGGCGGGGTATAAATCCAATCTCTTCTTCTTCACCACTCTTAACCACTCGCCTTGCATACCCTACAGGGTCGCCATGCGACTCGACAGCAACTAAACATATAAATAAATAAAAAGCTGCAAGGCCGTCAGTGTGGTCCAAGCGGAACCCATTCCGTTGCTCACAAGTAGTTATCTGCAATGAAAGTGTGGCCGTGATGGACCCGCAGTGCATTGTGGGTGGAAGCGTCTGTCCTCCGTCCCGTTGTTGCTCATGATTAATGGGAAGAGGTGATGCGGGGCTTTTCTTCAAGCTGCTGTCTTTTGGAGGAGATAACAGAGCCCCTCCATTAAACAGCCTGGCGAAAGCCGGTCTCCCTCCTGACCGGCCCTCTCTCCCTGGATGGATGGGGGGCTCTTGCCTGCCTGCCTTATCTTATCTCTCTTCCCCAATTCAAAGCTATCTCCGAAAGACATGACAAGGGGACTTTTGGATTGTCTTGTTTTTAAATTGTCTCTCATTCTCTTCTCACTCTGTGCCCTTTGAGAAAGGATTGTAATTCTGCTTGGTCCGCAAGAACCCTGTGGGGGGGGGGGGGGGGGGGGTGC